TAATTTCAATTAACAATCATTTGTTAATCATGTCAAACCAGCCCCTTTAATTTACTTTTATAGACATAAAATTATCTCAATTGTCAATGCCTATAATAAATGATGGATTGCACCTACATTAAGCTTCTCTGACTACTGATTATTGAATTGCAGGGCATTCAATTTCCTTCAAATTGCGCCACTTTCTTAAAATGTCATACCTATTTATGTTCATGAAGATGGGTTACTTAAACAAGAAGCAGCACCAGCTGACGTCTCAGAATTAAAATGTGGAACATTTGTAATTGCTGAAGTGCGATGAATGTACCCACGTGTTAGGTAAAAACGGACACATTAGCAATTTTCAAATAAAACACACAGGACCCATCTTTTTTCTGAGGCACTAAGTAACAACAGAAGACTCCAATGTATTTATAGTAGTAGTAGTAGTAGTAGTAGTAGTAGTAGTAGTCATAATAGATTTTATTTATATACCGTGTTTTCCCGAAAGTAAGACCTACTCCAAAATAAGCCCTAGCTTAATTTGGGGGGTGGGCCTAATATAAGTCCTACCCCAAAAATAAGCCCTAGTTTTGGGGCAAGGTGCACACCTAAAAATCAAGCTGGGGTGGGGGGGTGGAGCTTACCATTGCAGCCAGGTCGCCCATGGATCGACACTCACTTCTTCCACGACCAAAGGAGCAGCTTCATTCTGCAGCTGAGAATGGAGCTCCGGCCTGCATTTCGCAGTCAGAGGCTTTTCTGGAAGGACTCTGTAGCCGAGAACCGAGATATGGATTCAATCTGTAGCTCAGTGCTCAGGCGCAGACGCCTTCCGGAAAGGCCTCTGACTGCGAAATGCAGGCCGGAGCTTCATTCTCAACTGCAGAATGAAGCTGCTCCTTCGGCCGCAGAAGAAGTAGGCCGGCTGAGCGGTGCTGTTGGTGCCCTCATGAGTTGAGTGGAAAAGACACATACAGCCTTGAAAATAAGACCTGGTGCCTCTTTTGGAAGCAAAAATAAATAAAGAAATAAGACCGGGTCTTATTTTCCGGGAAACACAGTAGTATTTATGCCGTGACTAACCAAGTTGTGAAACTGCCTAACCCAGGGCACACTCAAGAATGAAAGAAAATACAAGCATAGTTAAAACAACCAATCTCAAAACCAAACTGCCTCTTAGAATTTCACAACAGATCTCCTTGTCTCTCCTTCTTTCTCTCACACACACAGATACACCCAAACAATATCAAGAACGGCTAAAATATAGAATGCACCTTGCCAGGTGCAGCTTTTCACGTACCCCAAGCAGCAGAAGTGACATTTCTTGCTTACCTTCTCCTTCAGACCACAGAAGTCTGGAACTGGGATCCGTTTGTAGGCCAGCCCTTGGCAATTGCTTTTGTGCTGGTTAAATATCTCCTGCATGGTTAAGCATGATTTCAATATTTTCATCTGTTTCTCCTGTTCCAAATAAACCTCAATCCGTTTCTGGGATTTCAGCAGATCATTCTTCAAGACAGATTCCAGTTTCTGAAGCAGTGCCAAAGAAACAAGGGAGTCATTCATCTCTTTCAATTCTATCTTCAAAAAGTTTAATCTTCTTTCACCCGATGCCCCCCAGGTAGGTTGGAATACAATGCCCATCTTTCCAGCATGAAAGGAATTACAGAAATACATCTGGAGGGAACCAGGTTAGAAGAGTACACTGATGCACAGAAACAGAAAACCAACTATTCACACAAGCAACTAGCGGGTTGGGTATTTCTCTGTTATGCATACAGGGAGTCTGGGCTTTCTTACAATGCATTAATTAATGGAAAACAATTCAATGAAGAAAAAAAGGCAAAAAGTCTCATTCCTGTCCAATTTAGAATCTCTGTACATCTACAAAGTTAGTGTTGCTAACAAAACTTATATATACATCAAACGTACATAAATCAAAATCTTTTATTTTTATTTTTATCACTCTCTGCTATGCTAGTGTGATGTAATGGTTAGGGTGCTGAACTAAGTCCTGCCAAAAATATATATATATATATATATATAAGCCAGCTAAATGAGTGGTTTTGTCCAGTGGTTTTCAACCTGGGGGGGGGGACGACACGATGTTGTTACAGGGGGTCCATGAAGGCTTGAAGAAATGTTATGATTTAAATCTTGAATTAAGTCTTGGGGATTCATGTCCATGATCTGTGGCCACAAAAGGTATTTAAAGGGGGTGCATGGTGAAGCAAAAGTTGAGAACCACAGGTTTATTCACTTCCTCTAAGCGTCAAATCAGCTTCAGGCTCTACAAAAAAATAGCTGAAAAACAAAAGCCCTCAATTCATCATGCATTGATCACTTCAACATCTGAACTGCAATGAGCAAAGAGTACAAAACAACCAGGCCTTGCAACCAAGCAGGAAAAAGACTAGGAACAACGTCTGTTGTGTAGCATCTTTACATCTCTTTACTAGAAAGAAGAAAAGTATTAATGATACCTATTTTTGTCCTTTCTTGCTCTGAACACGTGATGACACACCTTGCATACCCTTACAAGGGTGCATAGAATTTGGAAAAATATTTTTATAAAGGTCCTTGAGAATAACTGAATTGTTGTCATATATAAATGCAGAAAAGGGCATTCACCCACCTATTTCCAAGAAGAATGACACGACATGAAGAAATTACTTTGCTTATTATTTCTGCAGTAATCAATGCCTGTCTTTAATCACTTATTGCCTAAAAACATTGTATTTCACAAGGCTTTTATTTCCAGAGTACACATTGGAAAATTAGAAATTATCTTCTTCTGCTCCCATGCCAAGGAACGTTTGACTAACCTTAATTTTCCTGCATTATATAAAAGAGCACTCTGCCTTTGAACATCCATTCCATATGATTATATCTGGTTAGTGAAAAGATTATTTCTCTTTTCCAGAACTGTCCATATCATACACAAAGTCTGAATGTTGGGGTGGGGAACTATGGCCCTTTTATGACTTGTGGACTTCCATGCTGACTCAGGAATTCTGGGAGTTGAAGTCCACAAGTCATAAAGGGGTCATAATTCCCCCACTTCTGGATTAGCATGATGTTTTTTTAGAACTTAATGTTATGTGCCAACTGGACGACTAAAGTTTATTCAACAATTCAGGGTTACAAAATCCTGGCTTAACACTTCAGCATCTTACAAATAAAGTAGGTAAAATGTCAATAGTGAATTATTCTTAAATATCAAATCCCGGATGATTCTGTTAGGAATCTTTCATGATATAAAAAGGACTTCATCTATGCTATGGAACAGACTCCCAATTCATAAAGATTGCTTTGTCATATTGCTTCAGAGGCCATGCTGTGATCGAAATTATACCAATCACCTACTGAGTAATGAATTTCATTTTTTTTTACCATGAACATTTTATTATTACTTTATGTTGTGAATCGACAAGAGTCTAATGGACTGCAGAAGGTGCAAACTGAATACAGGTAATCCTCAACTTACAACCATTCATTTAGCAACCGTTTGAAAAGTGACTTACAACTGGTCCTTGCACTTAACAGTCATTGCAGCATCCCCATAGGCATGTGATCAAAATGTGTGCACTTGGCAACCATGTACTGATAACAGTATCCCTGGGTCATGTGATCACCATCTGTCACTTTCCCAGCTGGCTTCTGACAAGCAAAGTCAATGGGGAAAGCCAGATTTGATTAACAAAGACCTAATTCATTTAATAATTGCAGTGATTCGCTTAACAACCGTGGCAAGAACGTCGTAAATTCAGGGATAACTCACTTAACAGTTGCCTTGTTAAGCAGTGGAAATTCTGGTCCCAATTCTGATTGTAAGTTGAGGACTACCCATACATAGGTAAATTCTACAGGAAGAACATATCCTGTAACCATTCTAAAAATAGAAAAACATTTTCCAGTTCATTTTAGGTTTAAAACATTGTTGATGATAGCAAATATGAGAAAAACTGTTATGTCAAGAAATAAATATCACAAGCATATTTATCTGCTTTAAATGTGGAATTCATCCAATTGATGTATTAAGACTATAAATTTTTGGAAGAGGAAACATCAGTAATTTTGGATTTTTCTCTTCCGCCTTTTACTTGTAGAAGAGTAAGTACAAAGAAATGGGAAATTAGGAGAACACAAACAAAACATGACTGGCTTCTACTATTAAAGCTCATTCTCCATTACACCATCTCCACAGCACACCACTGAATTCATTCTCACTGAATATGCTATCAAGAGCTCTATGGATAGTAAGAAATTTGCCAGTAGCACAAGTGGGCAGAGGAAACAGCAGAAAGTTCAAGTATCCAAGATCTCACCTCTAGTTGTTCTGATGATGCTACGGGTACCGTTATCTGCTGTTCCAGATTGCCAATTTCCCGTAAGGTATAGGTTTGTTCATTCTCTTCTAGAACTATATCTTCACGGAGATTAATCCATAAGATGTGAGAATGTTTCCTCTTTGCATCTGTCAAATAGTTCAAGACATTCCCAATTGCCTAAACAGAAGAACAGATCACAATGTGTTAAAAAGGAAAAGCAGAGAAATTATCTTCAAAAATCTAGAGATGATAAGCTTTGTCTTCCTATCCCTTAGGCTATTACAATAAATCAAATGAATAAATCAAAGAACTATAGGGAACCCTTCAGCTGCTGCTGTTTCTTTCAAATCAGCCTTGATAAGAGGTTCTCTGAAGTGAAATTAGTTGAACAGGAATCTCTGAGCAGACAAGTGAGCAGGGAAGTGTTGAAAACCCTTGACCATATGAGGCAAAGTAGAGACAGGCAATGGGACTGAGAATTCTGATAACAGCCAAGTCAGTGGGGGGAAAAAACCATTATGACTTTAAAAAAAAAAATCCACAACTGTTTTCAAGGAGTATCATAGAAAAGAATTTCAACGAAAAAACTTCTATTTTATGATATATTACTGATTCTGCTAGATTCCATGAGGAATGGAATGGAATGGAATAGCTAGTGCAGTATACAGGTTTTCAGTGGAAAGCAGGCTGGTTGCAATTAAGTACCAAATTGGAAAATCTAGAAGCATTAGTATAGCTCAGTGGTGGCGAACCTATGGCACGGGTGCCAGAGGTGGCACTCAGAGCTCTCTCTGTGGGCACGCGCGCCGTCGCCCCAGTCCTAGGCCTTCAGCTGGGTTTTATAAAACCTTTTCGCTTTAGGCCTCCACCGCCATGTAAAAAAAAAAAAAAGTTCAATCAATCAATTTCAACTTCTCGCGGGCAAAACAAAGATCTTGCAAAGTTGGAATTGATTGATTGAACTTTTTAGTCCCACCCAGTCTGCTGTTACCACTACAACCACGCCCACCCAATGGGCCATACCCACCCAGCACCCGATGATGTGTAAGTGGGTTTTGGGTTGCACTTTGGGCACTCGGTCTCTAAAAGGTTCGCCATCACTGGTATAGCTTCTGTTTAAAATCCAGTTTGGGAATCAGATTTCGATTGGTCCCAACAAAATCTCTTTCTGGAAACCACACTTACCTTGGAGTTGGGCTGAGCCATTCCATACACAGGCATTTTAGGAACTCTCCGGAAATTGGCCACGTTCATGTCTTTGATGGTACTAAGAACATCTGGAGAAAACCGTTCATCCACAACCTAAAGCAGTGATAAACTTATGAAGCCTTTGTTCATTTTACGTATAATCTGAATATTTTTTTATTTCTATTGTGGAACAATTTTCTTTCATTCAATGCAAAGTCCAAAGGAATGAGAGTAATAGCTAAGATTACATGAAAGAAAGAAAAAAACCTGTTGTTTTGAGATACACAAGCTTATTGTGTTCTCTTCAAATAAGCATGGAAGAGGTAACCTATTCCTTATTTTTTTTAAAAAAAAAAATGCTTTCTTTATAAATGCAGGGAAGTATCTTAAGAACCTGACTATACAGAAGATTGCAAATTAACTTCAAAGCAATTGAGAGGAAAAAACAGTCCTAGCTATGAACTAAGCTCAACCTCAGTAACAAGAATATTGCTATAATTAATCTATTAACTGAACTATTTGGCACAATGATTCTGACATTGTGAAAGGGACGCTAAGAAGGAAATCCAAAGATTAAGAGGATGCAGAACAGGGCACTCACCAGCACTCGTACTCCCTTAGTTATCTGTTCCGCTGTGATTGTAAGTTCTGACAGATTCATGTTGGCTTGAAGTCTATACAGCTCAGGGTGCCTGCAGATCCATCTACTGAAATTGAGAGCAAAAGCCAAGGGATACTGCCAGCCCAGAAGAAAGAAGAAAAGGACAATTTCAGGAACAGGGGGTGATCCCAAGAATTGTACTCGTCATCACTTCAACTCATCAAAAGATCTGGGTTTCAGGGCACTGAGGTACATCTATTTATTTATGTATTTATTCCTTCGTTCAATTTTTACAACTGCCCATCTCATCTGTAATCAGTGACTCTGATTACAATTCAAAAAATATGCTACAGTTAAAACACCAAAACATTTTCAAACAATAGCAAACAATAAAACAGCCAAAACAAATATACAAAACAGCTGAACTGCTTGGCCAGTTAGCAATATATTGTAGCTGTCAAGCACTGGGGAAATCAGGAGATTTAGGCACTTCCAATGAGTAGAAAAAATTACTGCAAAATTAAGCTCCCTGCAAAATCTGAGCTATTAACTCTCAAGGGAAATGAGGGGGAATTAAGAGCCATTCAAGGTGGGATGGACATAGATGTCTTGCGGGCACACAGGAACTCAACTTATAATGCGTTTGGCCCCTCCCTTGGGCTCAGCCTGGTCATCTCCTACAATAGCCAGGAACGGGGCCCTTTATACATTCAGCATCCCAGGCTCAGGAATATAGCCAGGTATTTAGGGCTTTATAAAAGGCTGACAGGGTTGAAACCATTCTATTCTCCAAAGGGAGGATGTCCCATAGAGCAGGGGCCACTGCGGAAAAAGCCCGTCTTCTAGTCCCCACCAATTGACACTCTTTGGCTGACGATATCTGCAGCAGTCCATTCTGCTAGATCTAATTGGATGGGTAGAGGCTCATGAAAAGGGGTGATCTCTCAAGCCATATAGGGCTTTAAAGGTGACAACCAGCATCTTGAATTGCATCCAGAAACATACCGGTAGCGCATCGCCTCCCATTTCCACTAAGTTCTATATCAGGAAAGCCTGGCTGAAGTCAGATATCTAACGGGCATCCAAAAGATGTAACAGAAGCTGCCTAACAAATTTTAGGGAAGAGGATATTCCACGGTACAAGTACCAGTGGGGGGGGGGGGAAGGCAACATGTCACTGGCCACAAGATGGCACTCTGAAGTTTACAGCACACCCAGCAAGAAAGCACTCAACCAAGTTTAGCCAAGCAAATTTTCATCTGGGAGTCTATTCAGAGGTTGATTCAGGTCTTAGTGATGAAAGCTAAGGTGTTATTTACAACCCACATAGCTCAAGAAACTCAGGGTGGTTACAGTCATTAAATATATGTTGAAAATAAAATGAAATGTTAAGATATGAAAAGAAAACAACTGTAGTGACCTCAAATTAATAATGGAGAGACACAGATTTTCAGGAACAATAATTAATCATATAAAGGCAGTAGCTGTTAAGTTCCAGCTGTATAGTAAAAGAGCCAGCTCTTTACCTAGTTCTAGAACAGTGTTTCTCAACCTTGACAATTTTAAGGCATGTGGACTTCAACTCCCAGAATTCCATAGCCAGCATTGCTGGCTGTGGAATTCTGGGAGTTGAAGTCCACATGCCTTAAAATTGTCAAGGTTGAGAAACACTGCTCTAGAAAGAAAATAATGTTGGCATCAGTCTGGTTGACCAGCATAGCAGGAAAGGCACTTTGTGATACTTCCACCAAGAAGTCATGCTGATTTATACATGCTCACATATATACATAACCATTTAGGATTTTAAATCATCATTTTAGCCATTGTCTAGCCACTGCAGGATGAAGGCCTCTTTATCCACTGCAGGATGAAGGGTCTTAAGTATCATTATTAAAAACTTGAAGTCTTACAGGCAATGTATAAATAGTCACTGTGGTTCCATTAATCCTGGTGTGATACAATCTCTACAAAGCTATATCACCTTTAGCTTCTGGGTCAACTTCATGAGTAACCTCATGTATAACACTCTGCAATAGTTTAATCATGTGTGTTCAAGAGCATGTCCTCCTATGGCAAGACGATCAGTCACTCACAAATGGTCAAACACATATGGCTATGAGAACACTTGAACCTCAAGCGATAGGTGATCCAGAAGAATACTAATCCTGTATGTCTACTGATGGAGTGCAACCCCATCTAGAACTGGAGATTTTTAACCAAATTCCTGGAAGTGTAGGCTATCAATCCACAGTACCTCTATCTTATCAAAATTTAATCATAGCTTATTTTTCTTTATCCAGTCCATTGAAGAATCCAGACATGAGTCCAACAGCTTCATTGTCTCATTTGATTTTAATGTCCAAGAAAACAAATAATGGGTATTATCCACTTATTGTTGGTACCCAAACTCTTTGTATGACTTAACAGGAAACAGTGCCACACCTATGTGCAGATGTTTCACTGGTTCTCAAGTTTTCTTTTATTAGGCCTCCAATTATTTAACATTATTTATATTTTAATTTAGAACAACTGGATTTTGCTGGAGTGATGATGCTGGCAACAAAAGGCAACCTTTTTTCAATAATTTGATCTGACAGATCAAGATCCAAGAGACTGCCATCAAAAAGCAATTATGAGACTGTCTTACCATCACTCTATCAAAAAAGATGAGGAGTTCCATGTTCACATCAATTCACTGGTAGAGCATGCAGCTTCTATCTCATGTTTGTGTAAAATACTTTCGGATGGAGCTCAGTTATCTGATATCAAACTTCTAAAGATCTGCCTCACATACTTACAGTAACTGGTTGATGGACCTGAAGCTTGATGAGTGAGGTACCTAGATTTTTCAACTGTACTGCCTAGTCTATGGAATAAGGAATTGTAACATGGATAGGGATGATGTGATTCTCTAATGTTGTCAGAACAAACTGCAATTTCCCTATTAGCTTTACTGCCTTGAGTTAATGGGAGTTGGAATTTAGTAATATCTGAACATATGAACTATACCCTGACAAACCATGAAGAAAAAGATGGGTCTTTGAGACAATATATGGCCAAACATGATTGTTATAAGTCACTGGTCTGTAGCAAGGATGATCCATAGAGGTACGCTCACCTGTTCATGAAGGTAATAATTGAAAATGATCAAGAAGAAATAACGTTCAAGTCTCTGTAATGTCTTCTGAAGGAAACACTCTTTGGTGCCGTTCTTCTACAAAAAAACAGATATAACGATCCAGGTAAATCCATACAACTTACGGAATGCTAAACCGAAAATGTACACTTTTCAGCATCTTAACTTATTCCAATGAACCAATTATATTTATGCATATATTGAGAGAGAGAGAGAGAGAGAGAGAGAGAGAGAGAGAGAGAGAGAGAGAGAGAGAGAGAGAGAGAGAGATGCAAACAAATTTGTAAATTTGCCTCTCAATGTAAATTATTACTTAACACTATGATACAATTAACACACCCTAAATATATTTGAAGAAAATAATTTAGCAGTATCAATGCTTCTCAAATCATGCTGACATTACAGATATATATCCCTACTCTGTGATTATTGAAAGCTTCCATTTTTATTAAAAGCAAAGGGTATTAAGATTCTTGCTTTCATATCCAGCTTTATGATGGTGGTGATGATGATATCCATTCTTTTTGCTGTTATCACAATTACACAATTGTGGGATTTTTCACTAGCCTCTTAGAACCCCTACAAATGTTCTTTGATCTACTACATACTTTTCAGCAAAAGTATTTTTTAGGGTTGCAGCACTGTCATCTGACTTTATATGTCCCAAGATTACAGGTACTTCTCAACTTACAACTATTCATTTAGTGACTGTTTGAAGTTACAACGGCACTGAAAAAAGTGACTTTTGACTGTTTTTCACACTTGCGACTGTTGCAGCATCCCCATACGATAAAAATTTGGGAGTTTGGCACCTGTCATATATTTATGATAGTTGCACTGTCGTGGGGTCAGCGTGTTATCATCATTCGGTACAATGAGGACCCAGATTGTTGGGGGCAATATGCTGACTCTGTAAGCCACTTAGAGAGAGATGTAAAGCACTATGAAGCGGTATATAAGTCTAAGTGCTACTGCCATTTGTATTCTTCCCAACTGGCTTCTGACAAGTAAAATCAGCAGGAGAAGCCAGATTCTCTTAACGACTGCACGATTCACTTAACAACTGTGGCAAAAATATTGTAAAATGAGGTGCAACTCACTTAAGAATTGTTTGCTTAGCAACAGAAATTTTGGGCTCAATTGTGGCCCTACACTGAAGACTACCAGTATTTCTCTACCTGTAAAATCTATAACACAAATTCTTTATCGTGGTTTTTTTTTACTCAGCTTCCCAACTTGGATTGTTCAACCCACTTTAAAAAAAATAATTTTAAAAAATAATAAGCAAGCAAAAAAACAGCGTAAGTTTCATTTCTAGAAATCTAACTGAGCCTCAAAGATCTCAGAAAATAAAAGAGACCAAGGGGTGTACAAAATATTCTGGTCTAAGAGTTGGCAGCAAATTGGTATATGGTTATGTCACTGCAACAGGCATCTTGTGAATAAGTGAATCTCTCAGTGGCCATTTTGTGAAGATTCCAATCAAGATTGGGGATTCATGTTTAAGACCATGATTTTCCAACACAGACATCTGCCAAAGACTTCTATTCTTTGAGTAACTCAACTTTGGGAAAACACCATTGTCCCTCCAAGAAACATAAGAGCACAATCACAGTCTCCATTATCTACCACAAATTATATCCTCATGTCAATTTCTGTGACATAAGCTAAGCTCAGTGATAATGATCTATTAATACCATGCCATGAATTTCAAAACTGGGTGGCAATTCAGATAAAAGAATCCTGATTTACCTCTGGTTTTTTAATTACATTGGCTCTGGATGGACACAAAACAGAGCTTGAACAAATGCAAAGAAGCTTCATTTGGTTTTTGGAAGAGAGAAAATTTGGCAAGGATCCATTGGAATCTTAGGTTATATAATTTAATTAATATTTACTTGTTATCCTCCAAGAAAAACCTGGCCTGAAGTCATTTATCAAAAAGATTTAAGAAATGCACTTAGAAATATTTTCCAGCACAGGCTATTTCCATCCCCATGTTAAAACAAGTGATAATGATGGCACAAATCCAACTATTGAATCTCATTGCTCTCAAATGCAGAGATCTGCAACAGCGTTTTAAAAATAGTATTTATAAAATGTTTTATGGTTTCCCTTGAAAAGGTATTTACTGAGATCTTATCTTACATTTAGATATGCATAAACTATGTATTCTATAAAGCCTGCTTTTATTTATTAAAGAAGAGCTGCATTAGATATACATCAAATCTCCATAATCTGTACAACCTACCACAAAAAGATAGCAGAACAATAAATTGTGTGAATGTGCTAGGTATTGGATATTTCGTTCCAATTTTTACAGCCCCAGAAAGTAACAAGAACAACAACAAGAATTCTGTCAGCCCTCATTTGGCTTAGAGACCTGCCATGTGTCACACATATATATGTTCTGCTGTTTTTCACAAGGAAGACAAAAGGATATTTTTCAAGAAAAAAAATTCCATTGTTTAAGAAGAGCTGTTCCTCTGCTTGAATTTCATATAAACATTAACTGTGTTTATAAGTAAAGTGACTTCCAAAGGCTGATCTTACACTACATGCTGTGAGGGCAACCTGAAAATCACTTCAAAAGTAAAGCTAAATTATTTTCACAGAACCACTGCTCAGAACAACAAAACGAGAAGAGGATCCCAGCAGGTGAATTTCAACTTGAAGGAAGAATCTCACGTCACAGTAGATATAGTAATATTAGGCCTACTCTCCAAAGAGATGGCTAAGTCCAGAATAGCTCACAGATCTAAGGAAAATATTATTTAATACATTTCTATATTACTTTCTATCAGGAGTTTGGATGCAGGTTTAGTATGCAGTACAGGTAGTCCCCGACTTACTACCACAATTGAGTCCAACATGCCACAAAGAAGAGGGGGTCACGTTATTCACCAAAGCACCAGAGGGAAGGACGAGAAAAAATGGTTGGAAACTGATCAAAGAGAGAAGCAATCTGGAATTAAGGAGAAACTTCCTAACAGTCAGGACAATTAACCAGTGGAATAGCTTGCCCCCAGAAATCGTGGGCACTCCATCACTGGAGCTTTTTAAGAAGAGACTGGATAGTCACTTGTCTGAGATGGTATAGGTTCTCCTGCTTGAGCGGGGGGCTGGACTAGAAGACCTCCAAGGTCCCTTCCAGCTCTTTTCTATTCTAATTCTAATTTCTGTTGCTAAGCAAGACAGCTGTTAGGCGAGTTTTCCCCCATTTTACAACCTTTCTTGCCACAGTTGTAAAATGAATCACTGCAGTTGTTAAGTTAGTAATGCGGTTGTTAAGTGAGTCTGGCTTCCCCATTGACTTGGCTTGTCAGGAGGTAACAAAAGGGGATCACATGACCCCAGGATACTGGAACTGTCATAAATGTGAGTCAGTTGCCAAGTGTCTGAATTTTGATCACGTGACCGTGGGGATGCTGCAGCAGTTGTAACTGTGAAAACCGGTGATAAGTCACTTTTTTCCGTGACTTTCACTGTAACTTCGAACTGTCACTAAAAGAATGGTTGTAAGCTGAGGACTACCTATAGATACTATTTTTCCCCGCATTGAAACCAGATGAATGTGTAAAGGAGTTTATTCAAAAAATGGGCAACTGCCCTAAACTCCATCTATAACTAAATAAACATTAGAATTTTAGCCTCCCCTGGGCTGGCTCCATTACTAGGCAAAATAAAGCAGCAACTACTGACCCATGATGCTGGCCATCCTCCTGCCCCAATTTTTTCTGCTGACCTCTTTGGTTATTTCCTTCTGCTAGAGGGGAGAATAGAGTGTGCAGTGCAGCTCAACCTTTGACTCATGAGCTTATTCTTAACTATTATGAAGAATACCATCTGATCATAGGTATAAATCAGTGGTGGCGAACCTATGGCACGGGTGCCAGAGGCGGCACTCGGAGCCCTCTCTGTGGGCACACATGCCGTTGCCCCAGCCTCGCCTCCCCCCGCAACCCCCTTCTCTCCAGCAGACCCCCTGAAGGAGAGTCGCCCCTGAACGTGGACCACATGGAGCAGGGCAGCCAAGGACATGGCAGCCAGGTAGCATAGACAAGACTCTGCCCTCATACCCCATCATGCACAGTTGATGCTGCAGGGCACGGGCAGAGGGTGTGATCGCCATAGCGCTGCTGGGCTGCCTGGACGATTTGCGGCAGGCCATGGAGGCAGTGAGTGGCCCTGCGGGCAGGCAGGGTAGGGGATGGTGGGTGGAGTGGGAGCGGGGCAGGGGATGGAGGGGGGGTGGGGCCAGTTTTTGGGCACTCGGTCTCTAAAAGATTCGCCATCACTGGTATAAATGGCTACTGGTCAAGGTTCTGTATGTGAAATGGGGTGGTGCCGTTTGGTCTTCCATTGCTGCAATATAGTAGGTCAACCCTGACATACAACCACTTTATCAAATTGTTGGCAAACGATGAACAGTTTTGAGCCTCCTCTATTTACCTGAAGCAGAAAAGACTCTTCATTAATTAAAATAAAGTTTTCACCTACCACCTAGCAAGATCAGCCAGGTGACCACAGCATACAGTACCTCTATCTCTCAACTGAAGTAACTACACAGGTTAGTTGGGAACATAACACTAAATATCCTATGCTGAAGGAGTTAGTCACCCTTTCAATGCCTTGTTAATCCAGTATAATAATATACATCTTTAAATGGATGAACTAGTCCAAGATTAGAGATTCCACTTATGAGATACCAGACTTCTTACAAAAGAATGATGATATCTTCAAAAGAACTCCCCCCCCCCAAACAACCTTTGGGTCTTGCAGAACTTGGCAATCTCGTGATATTTCAGCCATTTATAAGTATTAATTGGGCAGGGACATTTTCTATGGATGTCATAAAGGGATGTCACAGGAACACAGAGCCTTGAGGAACTGAGTTATTGACTCCTGCGATACAATGAAATTAGGCTGAAATACCCACAGAGGAAAAACAAGACAAAGACCTAACTAAGGCATATGGGCTATCTGGTACAGAAAGTTCTCCTGATGGGCTTAAAAGTCACTCTACAATTTCCTTCTCATGCCCAGAACTAGGTAGTGCACAGAGGCTGAGGTCTAGTTCCATTTTAAGCACAATACCTTGGAAGAATAATAAATCACAACAGTGATAAAACAATGAAGAGCAAGGATTTTACATCTTCAACTCCTAAGAGTTCACTTGGAAATTCAAAATAGCTTTCTGATATTCTGCATAAACATTTATCCAGTAGAAAACGTTCTGCCTTTCAGGACAAACAGTCCTTTGTTTATAGTCATCTTTTACACCTCAAGAGTTTTATAATCTATCCTGTTTATATATCTTTAAGCAAGAGAGGGAGGGAGGGTGCTTTTAAAAGAATTAAAGCCACATGTCTCTGTTGTAGCTTCCTTTTGTCTTTTATGATGCTACATGTTGTAACAGAAAACTACTTCTCTCACTACAACAAAAATAAAAAATAAACTAATTGGTAGACTGAAATATTCATGATATACAGTAAAAGTAACAACGTATTTGGGCTAATCAAATGCAAGTCACTAAATCACAAAGCTACAGGTTGGCTAAGAAAAGCAAAGTGCATGAATATAGCAAGCCAATAAATAAAATGGCAAGTGTCTACGTTGAAATAATTAGCAAATTTATCATTTTTCTTAGGAGAAACTCTGAACTTGAGGATTAGCATTACATAAGCAAGCAACACACGTACTCTGTGACACAATTATAAGTCTCCAGTTTCAGATACGGGTAGTCCTTGACTTACAACAGTTCATTTAGTGACTGTTCAAAGTTAAAACGGCACTGAAAAACTGACCTATGACCATTTTTCACACTTATGACCATTGTAGCATCCCCCGTGGTCAAGTGATCAATATTCAGCCGCTTGGCGACTGGCATGTGTTTATGACGGTTGCAGTGTCCCGGGGTTATGTGATCACCTTTTGTGACCAATGGGGAAAACAGATTCACTTAACAACTTTGTTACTAACCTAAAGACAGTGATTCACTTAAAGATGGTTGCAAGAAAGATTTTTTAAAAAGGGGGGGAACTCACTTAACAAATTCTCGCTCAGTAACATAAATTTTGGGCTCAGTTGTCAAGGACTACCTATACTGTGAAAAACTGCACTGTTAAACATAACAGGGATACAAAACAACCTTTCCTGACCTGGGGTTATCTATCTTTTAATTCTCTTGATTTCAGGTTTGATTTATAATGGCTGGGAATTAGAAGAAGTGAACTTCAACTTTAAGACAAGGGTTTTTCTTAATCTTAAAACAATATTGCTCAGCATCATCTAGTAAAATTGCCATCAGTCCTTCAGAATCTGAAACAGATTTTTCCCATCGTCTATTACATGAGAACTGTTAACTGGAAATGCCAGCGATTAAATCATCAGATCTATAACTAGGATCCCTCTGAATATACCTAGCTGGTTCAACCCTGTAAGAAACTCTTTACAAGATATAATTCCTCAACTTCAACCTCCACTTTGCCTGTATGATTGTAGCTCTATTGACTTTCCTTACAAGACAGATGGACTTGAAATGCACACAAATGCCAAGAATCATATCTAAATGTTTTATTTGATTATTGGCAAATCAAATTATAGTAGCTTTTTGGAAATATAGAAAACGAGCCTCTATAGCCCAGATGGCCTACCAATTCCTTTTCCTGTAGTGGCCCCTGCCATAACCACAACTGCTAGAAACTGGTCTCATAGGTTCCTACCCTTTTGAGGGAAAGGCATTCATTCCTAAAACAGATTCAGTATAATGTATAAATCAGAGATAAAATTCCAAAATCTTCAAACAGATGTTTAAACTTTGGATCCACCATTCTGCATTAGGATCTCGCTGTAGTCTTGGGTATCCACAAATGCTTAGCCCAACTCTAGCCATCAAAGATTGCCAGCCCCAACATATACGAAGAACGGCTGCAGGACTTGGGTTTGGCTAGTCTAAAGAAAAGAAGAAATAGGGGAGACATGATAGCAGTGTTCCAATATTTGAGGGGCTGCCACAAAGAGGAGGGAGTCAAACTATTCTCCAAAGCATCAGAAGGCAGGACAAGAAATAATGGTTGGAAACTGAGCAAAGAGAGAAGCAACCTGGAATTAAGGAGAAACTTTCTAACAGTGAGGACAATTAACCAGTGGAACAGCTTGCCTTCAGAAGTTGTGGGTGCTTCATCACTGGAGGCTTTTAAGAAGAGACTAGACTGTCACTTGTCTGAAATGGTATAGGTTCTCCTGCTCAAGCAGGGGACTGGACTAGAAGACCTCCAAGGCCTCTTCCAGGTCTATCCTATCCTATCCTATCCTACTCTATTCTACTCTACTCTACTCTACTATTTCTTTTCTACTCTATTTCTATCCTATTCTATTCAAAAAGGGCTCCTGATAGATCTGTTACAAGATCTGTATCCATCTACCATTCATGACACTCTTCTGATAAAAATCTAAGAATTCTAATTGTATTGTAGTTAGGTATCCCCATTTTCTGAACAAGACAAATCGCAATCACAACAGTCATACAAAGTATAAATATATGAAAAACTGTGGAGAGAACTTACCACAGGAGATTTTCAGGTTATGACCGTAATTGAGCCCCACAATAGTTGTGTTGGTCATAAACTGGGCCATCATGTGACCCAATCTCATTATGACCTTCTTTGTGGTGGTCATTACGTGGACACAGTGGTTGTTAAGTGAACGCCATGGTCATTGTTTGCTATGAGGCAGGTTTTGCCAGAAACTAGAATTAAACATCAGTTTCTGGCAAAAAATGTTATAAATCATGGCCATGTATCTATGGAGGGCAGACATCAAAACTTTGAAACCAGGGGGTAAGTTCCTTTTCTGGAGTCCAGTGTAACTTTGAACAATTGCTAAGCAACCAGTCCTAAGTTGAGGCCTACCTGTAGCACCATGGATCTTGTCACCAATTTAAAAAGAACTACTAATACCTGGTTTTGATAATCTTCTCCAATTCCTTCCAATTTCCTCTTGTATTCATACATGGCTTCCTTCACATCATGCATTTCTGAACATAAGGCAATGGCAGCATCCACCTTTGAAGACCAAAGGGAAAACGTCAAAATCTATTCCCTTTAATCATATTTCTATTTTATCAGTGTCCTCTGTTAACGATCACCTGGAATCTACTTTTATTTTTAACTGAAATGAGACCTGGGCATCCACAGGCACCATGTGGTCCTTCAATTTCTGTACAGAATTTTGTACCAGTGAAGTAGGATGGGGAGACTCAAGAAATGGAGGACAGTTTCTAATCATTTCTGAGGGAGACGGGTGGTTAAGAAATATGAAATATAAATAAATTAAATAGTTTTGGGGAAGAAAAACTGCCAATTTCTTTCCCCTCTCAAAAATGCACCCCTCCTTTTTCCCTGTTTTCAAAATGCTGACATAAAGACACAGCTACAATGAAAAATGTGTGTTTGAAAAAACTTCAACATAAAAAGCTTTTAACTTATTAAAAAATAGACAAAAGGGTAGAGGAAAACTATCAGAAAAAGGAACAAAGTTTTAGCATTTTAATGCCTTGCAGGGCCAAATTAACTATTATGCTATACATGCTAAAGAACTCTTCCACCCAAAATGTAATCTCTATCCTAGTTTACTTTTTACATATAATAACCACCTGCGCCCATGTCTTCAGACAGCTTCCTCAATAAAACATATTACTATTTTGTACAGCTTTCCCCAATCTCATGGCCTCTCTCAACTCTGAATACTTGGAATTCTGGGAACTACAGTCCCAAAACCTCTGAATGAGCATCCAAGTTGAGGCAGGTTGACTTATTGTCTTTCTAGTCATAATGGAGAGAACTCAATATTTATTTCTATACAATCAGGCTGTTTTCATCATTAATGTCAAGCACCAGGGAAATCAGGAGATTCAGGCAGTTCGAATGAGTATAAAGATTTATTGCAAGCTTAAGCTCTCTACAAGAATCTGAGCTACTAATGATCAAGAGAAATGAGCGGGAATTAAAGAGGCATTCAAGGTGGGCTGGACTTGTGGGTGCGCAGGGACTCATGACTGATGACACGTTTGATCCCTCCCTCAGGCTCAGCCTGGTCATCTCCTACAATTAATATAATCAAACATAGAGAATTGCAATCACACTTGCGCAGAGATAGACAGATAGATAGAGACTATATAACACTTCATTTAAAAAAGGCATCATGAATTTGTCTGTGTAACTTCAGTGTTCTTCTGCTCAATTTGTGACCCAATCTTTATCAGAGGCTGTTACATATCGAGACAAGTAACTCTGACAATCTTCATTAGCCTCAATGAGAATAAACAGCAATGAAGCACAAGAAGATCACTGAGGCCACAGGAACAATATACAATTAAGTTTCACTCACCTCTTCCACTATCCGTTGGCCGTTGGGTACCATGCCGATGAAGTTCTGAATAATCCGAAATTGTTCCCTGGGTGAATATTTGGTAGACTGTGGAAGGCTGTGACTGGATAATGTTAAAAGATATTCCTTAATGTATGGAATCTCACAAAAGTCTAACAAACTTTCTAATTTTGCTTTTGTTAAAATTATGTGATGCACTTCATGCTGCACTCACTCACACTACTTACTGTGTTTCCCCAAAAGTAAGGCCTGCCCTGCATTTTGCAGTCAGAGGCCTTTCCGGAAGGCCACTGCAGCTGAGAACCGAGCTATGCATTCAATCCATAGCTCGGTTCTTGGCTGCAGTGGCCTTTCAGAAAGGCCTTTGACTGGAAATGCAGGCCGGAGCTCCATTCTCAGCTGCAGAATGAAGTTGCTCCTTCGGCCGCAGAAGAAGTGGACCAGCTAGGCAGGGCTGTCGGTCCTGGAGGTGAGTGGAAAAGACACCACCACCACTCCCGAAAATACGACCTGCTGCCTGTTTTGGAGGCAACAAAAAAAATAAATAAGATCAGGTCTTATTTTTGAGGAAACACGGTAGTTAAAAAAAATACAAGTTCCTACCTGAAGCAAAGAATTAGTTTATATACAATCTATTACATTTGGTATAGTATTGATATATTAGTATGGTACTATTACACTTAAATAAAATTAAATTTAAAAAGAAGCTGTAGCACTCAGCTTAATCAAACATGAAATCTTGATGCCCATACCGAAAATATAATGTTGTCCTATATTTTGTTCCCTTAATGTTGCATATAAAATATTGCTCAATATGGTTTCCCAAGCCATTTATTTAACACCCCTACAGATATTCAGAAATTTTGCATTTTGGATGAAACCTAAAATAGTAAATTGACAATCATTATGTAAATAATGCAATTCAATCCACACTTCGCTCAGATAATATCCTAATCATATATAAGGGGAACAAGTTTCTAATTCCTTTCAGTTTGTGGTAAAACAAGTCACCAAGATAGGAACAGAAAGATTCCTTTTTCATATAAGCAGATTTTCAGTGCCTATAAATAATCAAGACTTCCTTCCCATTTCATTTTATCTCAGCAGGAGATGCTATAGAGTTCTTACTCTTGTTTTTCCAGGCCACGTTTACGGTGATAGAGGACCAGAGTTCCTAAGATCATGGCGAAATTGGTCCTCCCGACACCAGTTTGGCAACTAAAAACCAGGGCAGGAGGTGGCTTGCTGGGATCTTGGAGAAAGAGCAGATTTGGACTTTCCTGAAAGACAGAATTGTACACATTAGTTGGGCTGCCATTTGGTCAAAAGACTGGCCACCAAACAACCATGTGAGAGGAAAAATAACTTTCAGCCTCCTAAAGGTCACACACATTGTCTGTTGTTGCTCCAAACCAAGAGAAGGAAACATCCTTGGGTGAGCAAAAAGTGGGCAATAATGGCTTTTCTGATCAACCCTTCTTCATTCTGAACAAGCAGGAGATGGGATTTGATGGCCTGTCAGCCTCTTCTAAGCTTGATTGGTACTGATATTACCTAGTTGGGTAATGAAATAGTGGTAAGAAAATAACCAAACTCAAAGGACTCCACAGGTCAACCCTGAGTTACAGATATTCTCTTTTACTGGAGCCTCTTCTAGTTCCGTTTCTACCTATTCATTCTCAAAAGGTGAATGAGATTAGGCTCAATCTATTTGGCCTTCCAGAGAGCTCTCAAGACATGATCTTTCCAATAGGTCTCAGGATCCCTTGGAAATAGGGAACCCACAAAATGGCTTTATTATATATAGGTTTTTAAACACTCTTCCTCAGTTTTGTTATATATAGGTTTCTTGCTTTCTATGTTGATTTTAAGATGTGTCTTTATTGTTTTATTTTTTATTGTTCCCTGACCAAAATCACATCTGTGATGGGTGGCTATATTAGATAGATAAATAGACAGATAGACAGATAGATAGATAGACAGACAGATATAGATTAGGCAGACGTAGTAACTATAAGTGTAACTCTAACCCGTAATATTCTATTTACATATCTTAACACACAGAATAACAGCTACTTACAAACAAATAAAAATTCTGTTGTTGGGTTTTTGTGTGTGTGTGTGCGCGCGCGCGCGCGCCTTTGAGTTAGTCTTGACTCCTAGAAATTGCTTAGATAAGAGTCCTGCAGCTTTCTTGTCAAGCTTTTGGAGGTGGATTGTCATTGTTGTCTTCTTACAGCTGAGTGGGTGACTGGCCCAAGGTCATCCAGCTGGCTTAGTGCCTCGGCAGGACTAGAACTGACAGTCTCCCTATTTCTAGCCTGATGCCTTAACCATTATTCCAAACTGGATTACCTTTTAACCTTATTAACAGAGGGATAGAATCAAGATCACGTGAAGTATTAATACCACTTTACAATGTCTTAGTAAGGCCACACTTGGAATACTGAATCCAGTTTTGGTCACCACGATGTAAAAAAGATGCTGAGACTCTAGAAAGAGTACAGAGAAGAGCAACAAAGATGATCAGGGGACTGGAGGCTAAAACATATAAGGAATGGTTGCTGGAATTGGGTATGTCTAGTTTAACGAAGAGAAGGACGAGGGGGGACATGATAACAGTGTTCCAGTATCTCAGGGGCTGCCACAAAGAAGAGGGAGTCAAGCTATTCTCCAAGGCGCCTGAAGGCAGGACGAGAAGCAATGGGTGGAAACTGATCAAGGAGAGAAGCAACTTAGAACTAAGGAGAAACTTCCTGAATGTTAGAACAATTAACCAGTGGAACAACCTGCCTCCAGAAGTGGTGAATGCACCAACACTGGAAGTTTTTAAGAAGAGATTGGACAGCCGTTTGTCTGAAATGGTGTAGGGTTCCTGCCTGGGCAGGGGGTTGGACCTCCAAGGTCCCTTCCAACTTTATTATTATTATTATTATTATTATTATTATTATTATTATTATTATTATTATTATTATTATTATTATTATTATTATTATTTGATTTAAAAAAATCCTTATGTGAAGCCTCATGTTATTTTTAAAAGTCAAGCATTTTTCAGAAAAACGAATGAAACATTCTCCCAAGAAAATATGCACACAATTGCAACTGAATGGCTTATTTCCCAAACGAGGAAAGCCCCTCTCCTTCTCGTAATCAAATTAACTTAACATATTAAACACGGCATAGAGTCTATCCTATAATTACTTTAACCCTGAATTGTTCCCATAACACTTTACATATTTTTAGTATCTCCCAAAACTGTCTCCAGCCTTAGCAAAACAATGTAACATCCAAAGTAAATAAAAGCACTGTAGCTAGCAATTTGATGCCCATTAATTAAATTCAGTATTACAGATTTGATCCAACCCCCAAAAACTAAGCATTTATTTTAATGGTTTTCTGATAAACAAGCCTTTCTAAGCTTAATTTCTTGCTGGCTTGTGCAGTAATTCTTTTTACAGTGTGTGTGGGGGATATTAAGCTTTTTACATTTGGCACAAAACCATACAGTAAGTCATGATTCTAAAGCAAATACAGGCCAATGCGTGTGTTCAAACACCAGCTAGAGGGATCCAGAAATAGACACACGAATCTACACTCGGCAGATGTAAATACAGAGGAGGAAAAACAAATGTTTGTAGTATCTCCACCCAACAGGAAGAATTTTCAGCTTCTGCTAACAAGCATCTTGCACATGTTTCCTTTTCCAACTCAGCTTATTAAATAAAAGACAGATTGTAGATTAACATCTGGCATCAGGCCTTACCCGAAGGAAACTGATGAAAGCATCAAACTGTGTGTCTAAAGGAGCTCCATCCATAGGCAAAAGCAGACGATGGTATCTACCAAGAAAAATGAATTATTTCCAGTTTTTGAAAACACCTTCGGTCAAAATGCAGACAAGCTTTGAAAGTATTCTTGGATAGAGACATTTAGAAAACATTTAATTCAACACATTGGCACGATGAAAAGAAGGAATTTAGGTACAATATTGCTTACCCACTGCTTTCTCATGTGACTGTTTCAATTATACATTTCTGAATAAAAGCCAGGGCTTTATTTTTAACTATAACAAATTTTAACCATCACATCCTTTATTCAACCATGTCTGTTGAAAAAGATACAGTTTGGCTAAATTTACAAAATGCATTAAATCAAAACTGAACAAACGATGGGTAGTCCTCAATTCATGACCGTAATGGAGCCTTCCTCTTACAGTCACAATTTGTGATGTTCGTAAAGTGGGTCATCATGACTTGATTTTATGGCCTTTTGGGGAATCATCATTAGAATAACGGGATAACAGATTTGGAAGGGACTTTGGAAGACTTCTATCTCGTCTAACCCCCTGTTCAAGCAGAAGACCCTCTCGCCTCTGATGTACACATGCAGTTTAATTTGCCCTCCATATTTCATTTCCACTGTCATTTTTCAAATATTTATAATGCCCTGCCTCATTGATGGGGAAAACAGAAGGAGTTTCACTGACTAAATAAGGATATATGTGGAAGACAGAGACCTCAAACAGTGGGAGAAGAAATAATCAAAAGATTTTTTTTCCTTCCCTTTCTCAAACAGAAAACAATGCATAATCTATATTGCAATGGGTCTAAATGTGACAGGCTGAATAATTTTGGTTTAAAAACTGTTGCTCTTTCCAGACAATGAGCTGGATTCAAAATCTGTCAAAGTTGTGCCACTAAAGCAGGGGTAGGCAACCTTGGCTCTTTTATGACTTGTGGACTTCAACTTCAACATAATAGAATTAGAAAGAATAGAACATTAGAATTAAAAGGAAAAAATAAGAATTAGAATAAAATTAGAATTTGAACAGAATTAGAATAGAAATAGAATATAATAGATTTTGAGAGAATAGAATAGAATTAGAATCACATTAGAAAAATATTAGAACTGGAAGTACAGAATGAGATGTAGAATAGAATTAGAATAGAATTACAATTAGAACAATTCTATACAATAGTACAGAACAGAATTAGAATGGAACAAAATTAGAGGAGAATTAAATAGAAATGAGCAGAATTAATATTAGAATTAGAAGATAAGCATAGAACTATAGCACAATTAGAATAAAATAGAATGCAAATAGAAATAGAATGGAAATAGAGCACAATAGAATTAGAATAAAATTAGATTAGAATTAGAAACAGAAGAGAATAGAATAAGAATTGAATTAAGAATTAGAGTAGAATGGAATTAAAATAGAATTAAAATTAGAATACAATTGGAATTAGAATTAGAATTAGAATAGAAATGGAATGGAATTTGAATAGATTAGAATTAGTACAGACTTAGAATTACAATTACAATTTGAATAGAATTACAATACTATAGAATTAAGTAAACACAGCAATCATTAAGCGAACTCACTGTTCTCTATGGAGTGTTTTTGTCAAAAACCAGAAGTAAAAGCCGTTTTCTGCAAAAACGTCATCAATTGTGGTCATATGACCACAGGACACTGCAAATAGCTGTACCAAGTTTGCCAACAGCCTCAAATGGGGGGACAGCTGGGTTGTAAGTAGCCCTGGGGAGGTCCATTGTAATTTTGAAGGGTTGCTAAGCAACCAGTCATAAGTCTGTACATTATAGTGGGACAATTTGCTAATCCAGTCACTTTATAATACAGAGATAGATAACCAGATGTCTGTGGGCAGCAATCTATAACAATCTACAGCCTGGACAACTGGAAAGCTCCTTGTATCTCCAACATTAATTTTGATACTCTTAATTAGAAATAACAATTTTGAGTGGGAAGTATGGTACCAGGCTACAGCACCTGAAACCATAAGTTTTCTTCAACATGGGGGAAGTGGACAGCTACATTTAACCCTAAAAAAGCCCATGGAAGCTAGGATGGTACTAAATATCCTGGAGATCAACCAGATTAGTTTCAAGAAACTGTTATGACTTTGCCTTTGAGGAAATATTTTCTATCCACGTGACAGGCCACACTTACTGTGTGGCAGTCATTTTGGATCTCGACACCAAGTAAGAGCAGCCAGGCTTTTGCTCTAAATTTTAATAAACCTATCAGCTCGAAGAGATGCCCTACATTCTTGGAATACAGATAGTCCTCGACTTACGACTACAATTGAGCTCAAAATTTCTGTTGCTAAGCGAGGCAGATTTTATGACCTTTCTTGTCACAGCTGTTAAGTGAATCGCTGCAGTTGTTAAATGAATCATGGGGTCGTGAAGTAAAGCTGGCTTCCACCAACGACTTTGCTTGCTGGAAGCCGGCTGGGGGAGGGTTCAAATGGCTATCACATGACCCCAGGATAATGCAACTGTCATAAATACAGTTTATGTATTTATGACAGTTGCCAGTTGCCAAGCGCCCGAATTTTGATCATGTGACCACGGGGATGCTGCAATAGTCCTAAGTGTGAAAACCAGTAATGTCATTTTTTTCAGTGCTGTTGTAACTTCAAACCGTCAGTAAATGAATAGTTGTAAGTTGAGGACTACTTGTAATGTTTTGTAATGCTGCTATTTAGATAAAACAGAGAATGCTGAAAAGAAATAAGGTCTAAGTTAGTAAAATTATTTATTAATAAGGACAAGATTCTCTTCCACCGAAATTTACCTATAAGATGGCTGCAGGAAGACAGGCCTCTTGTACACTTCCTCCGTCACCTGGATGTCTTCTTCACAGAAAATTTTGACTGAATGTGGCTCATCTTTGAAATGTTCAGTATCATTGTAGACATAATATATATTCTCACTCAGCTGGGCAAAGTCATGGATCTTCAACAGATAAATCCAAGAAACCAACCTGAGAAGACGCTTGCTTTATAAAACATTATCTACAACCTGTTATATGCAGTTTTCTTCCTTAGACCTACTTGCTGGCTTTGCTAAATAGTTCACCGTAGAGATACAAAGGAAAAGGCTCTGGTCCTACTCATCTCAACTTGCTCATGAAGACATTATAGGACCAATATTAAGATTGGATCATAAGACCACTAAGATACCAAGATACATGCCAGATAGGCTTCTATCGTGTTGTGCAGATATCTAAAATGGAATCAATGGCACAGAAATGTTAAAAGGATACCATGCAATTTGATAGCCATTCTCATTCCCAAATTTAAACCCCTGAGAAATATTTTGTACTATTTGATGACTCCCCCTGGATGCTTCCCCAGATACCTCTCCAGATGTCAACTCGGAGGTGGATGAACCAGTTCCGGGCACGTCTGGAGGGGAGTTGGTCAATGGCTCTGAGCAGCCATCTGAGAGGGATTTGAAGCACAGCTGCAGCAGGACACTCCTGAGGCTTCGGGTGGGGCATGCAGCTGCAGCCAGTCAGCAATAAGGAAGAAGAACTGCCTTCTTCACCTGATCCGAGAACAGGTAGGGCAGAGAAAAGGCAGGAGCAGCAAAGGTCAGCCAGATTACTTGTGAGGAGGAAGCCTCGCCCTTCTTGATGGGCTGCACCAGAAGCTGGCTATTTAGCACAGCAGTCAGGTGGAGGTGATGCTGGGAATAATATGTTTATTTCCTAGCTATGTGTTTCCTGCCTTGCTTTAGGTCAGAGGTGTCAAACTCGCGACGTCACATGACATCACGCAACATATCGGGCCGATTTTACCATTGCCGGCAATGGGGTGGGCGCAGCTTCCGGATGACGTGTCCGGCCCATGGGCCGGCAGTTTGACACCCTTGTTTTAGGTTGACACCATGCCTGGATTGTGCCGTGACTTTTCTTGCCTCGTGAACCCTCTTATATTGTGGATTTAACTTTGCCTGGTGGATTTCTCTTGTTTGAGAAACTTTCAAGTGCCTTGTGGACTCACTGGCCATTGCTCTGTGAACTAGCATTGGTCTGCTTTTGGCTGGACTTACTTTGGACAGTTCTGGGTTTTTTGAAGAGAATTGCTGGGGAATATTAATAAACCCACTAAACCATCATTACATGTGTGTGTGAGTGAGTGGGACAGCACAACTATATAATAATGTAATTAAAGCTGTACGACTTCTTTAACTAAAAGTTTAAAAGCAGTGGTGTCTGGAAAAAAATAAGTCAGAATACTCAAAATAAAAGACATGTTATGGCCAAAGAAGGCAGAAGTTATAGACTAAATGATATTACAGGGAGTTTTTTACTTATGACCACAACTGAGCCCAGAATTTCAGTCATAAGTCATTGTGGTTAAGTCAAGACATCACATGACCAGACTCAATTTTACAATCATATTTAAAATGGTTGTAAGTCTCCAAAGTTGTTAAATAAATCACGTGGTCATTAGACAAGCCATACAGTTGTTAAGTGAATCCAGCATATCCAAAGGTTGGAGATTTTTGCCATCTTCTGCCAGAAAATGCCAAAACAAAAGTCACAAATTGTGGGCACGTGACAGCAATTTGGTTGTAAATGTGAGCCGACTGCCTGAAGCACCAGAAATGCAATCACATGACCACAAGGAGGAGTAGGCAGTCATAATTCTGACGATGGGTCATCAGAAGCTTTTTTAAAAATCTGTTGTAACTTCAAATGGTCATTAAACAGCAGTGCACAAGTTCAAGAATTACCCATAATAAAAGTGGAAAAATATATCTCAAGCAAATCTCAAATGCAGCGCGCCTTCATGTAGCTCTGAAAAATCACCTCTTTTCGAATAGAGACTTCCAGGTCTTCTACTTTAACTCCTGTGTGCAGATTGTGTAGGTTCTCCTTCAAGTTCTCCTTTGCTCTTGGAGTGTAGGGGATGAAATCATTGTCCATCCGCAGAAAAAGTACAGGTTCTTCACGAACGCAAAACACAATACATTCCTGCTATGACAAAGAGAACTGTGTTGGCTAAATTCTCAATAGAGAGTAGAGAAAAGCTGATTTAGATACAAAGCTTTTTTTGTCTGCAGTAATTATCTACAAATTTGGACTTCACTGAGATGTTCTGCACATTGTCCTTCAGGGCACTTGTTCAAGGGCAAACCTCTAGGTGTGCAAGAGAACAAGAAATACGTTGCAAGAATCAGATTTCTGTTGTAGTTAGGGAAAAGTCAAAGATACGTCAAAATGCCTATGGGAGGAAAAAAAGGAGTTCCAATGTTTTCTCCCATCTAATAACAAGTGCATAAAGCATGTGTACATATCTACAATGCAGGTGCATTTGAACCCTGTTTGTGAGAAGGATACATGGGGGCTACAAGGGTGCTTTTGCGTAACTTTGTCATGACACAAACAGGAATGCTGAACTTTCAGCCACTGTTTAAGCAGAGGTGTCCAACCTTGGCAGTTTTAAGACTTAAGGACTTCAACTCCCAACATTCCCCAGCCAGCCACCTGTCTCAGTTTGGCTTTCTTTCACATACAGACCTTATGACCATCATTCTGGAGCTTCTGCAGAACTTGCTTGAATCCACCAAAGGTGGGCTGCCCCATCCCAAACACTGCATATCCTCCTTTGGCCTGCCGAAAGTTGGGAGCCCCACAAGTGCTGGAAGTATTCAGGACATCTAATATGCCGTATACATCACGGACCATAAAATATTTCCCCTACATGGAACAGTATCAAAAAAGGGAGAGGTGTCAATGTGCAACAGAAGGCAGTGTAAGTCAATTAATGTCTTCACAAAAATAACATGACTGAGAATCTGCAGAGGTCCAGACAAATTCATAGAATACAGTCCTATCACAGTCATTGCCTATTAAAGCTCAATATTCAGCAATATTATGCTGCAAAGCACCACTTGTTGGGCAGGGAACCAGAATAGGAAGGCTACATCATGTTTCTTGGCCTCTGTTGGCCATTGTGAGAAATGGGATGCTCATCCTTTGGCCCAGAAAAGCTCTTTTTAAATATTTTTAATCACCACATCCTACTGAATATCCATGCATAATCCGCAACATTCACCTGGACAAGATAGTGTTCTGGAGTAGATTCTGTAATCCGCCCCACAGTATAGCTGGCTTTCAATAAGTCATCATGTATTTGAAATTCTTCCTTGCAGTTGTAGCTGTAAGAAACACATGACAGAAATTGGTTGGTTTTTCTGCAACTAAAATATATACTGTGGTCAAACAAGCATCATAAGATTCCATTGCTTAATTTTCTAGTCACAGAAAGTTGATACATCTTACCCAGATGGTAAACTCTGCAACAAAATAAATGAACAAGCTCACAGCTATAAGTCAAATCAGTTTGTTTAACTGTACTATTTTACACTGAACATATGTACGTACTGTTATGTAGTCTATACAAATTTACAATCCAAGTTGCTTTCCACGATCCTGCTACCACCTGTCTGGCTGTAACCAATAAAAAACTCTCAATTCTTTGTTTCAAAGTGTGTAAACTTAGTAAGGCCAATATGGGATCTTAGATAATGGGCTCAGTTGTGATGTATCTCATTTTTGTATTTAAAAAAAAAATATCAGTGCAAAAAGACTGAACAGGTTTTCAAGATTACCACCTATGACAAAGCTATTTCTTTGTTTTCTCCAACGTCAAAACTCCAAGATCCCAGAGATCCTAGAGGTGGCCCTAGGCATAACAATAGTGTATGGCTGAGTTCTGAGGATTGCTAGGATGTGTATTCACATATCCAGCAAAGAGAGAGAATTTTATAGAATAACAGAGTTGGAAGGGACCTTGGAGGTCTTCTAGTCCAGCAGGAGACACTACACCATTTCAGACAAATGGTTGGCCAATCTCTTTTTGAAAGAGCACCCACAACTTCTGAAGGCAAGCTATTCCATTGGCTCTCACCATTAGGACATTTCTCCTTAATTCTAGATTGCTTCTTTCCTTGGTTAGAGATAAAGTTAGACTAAGTTAGACTAAGAAAGGGAAGCAGAGGATAATTTAAGGCAGGGGTCCCCAACCCCCGGTCCGTGGACCAGTGCCGGGCCACGGCATGCCAGCAATCGGTCTGCACAAACAAGGAAAGCCCCATCCACAGGATGCAGGAAGCAGACAAAGCCACGCTCCTTCCGGTCCGTGGAAAAATCTTTCTCCAGGTAACCGGTCCCTGGTGCCCAAAAGGTTGGGGACCTCTGATCTAAGAAGCTTATGCAGATGGCATTTGGTAAAGCTATGTTTTGGGACTATTCTCTCTTTCTGTAAAAGCCATTTGTTGTTGTTCTTTGTTTTGTTTTTTTCAATATCCAAATTGGGGCTATCAGCCCATTAATGTTGCCTGTTCCTCATTTATATGCTTAAATTTCATAAACCAATTATAAGGCAAGTCGGTTTTAAGGGGAAATAATACATATAAAGCTATGATCGGATTGGAAAAACCTCTTTTGAGAGAATGAGATGGACATTAATCCTGACTACTTAGCTTTTATGTTCAGCTGGAAACCCATGTTATTCCTCTCTTGTTTTTAACTTGCAAGTTTTATATACCAAGAAAATCTTATTTTATTTTATGCTGTGGTTAATTTTTTTTTTTTTGATTGGGGAATAAGAATAAGCAAGAGACTGCATTCAAACTGTCATATATAGGGCAGGTTTCTGTGTCTGTGTTACACCAACAAAGACCACTAACTATTGATATACTGGATTTTTCAAGATTTTTCTCCAGACCATTCCCATCTGAGGTAACAAAACTAGGGGAGGGAACAGAATTCCTAACCACAATCCATGTCAAATGGCCTATAATCAATTTAGTAGGCCACAAGAAGAGTTGGCTCGTTTTACAGAAGCCTTTCTTAACTTGGTGTCCTCCAGATGTTTTCCAGATGTGCTATGCAGCCATTGCCATCCCCAGGTACGAAGTACCAAGTTGGAGCACTACAAAGAGAACACACTGTCTCTTCTATCACACACTCAATACAAAATACGAAAGGAAAAAAATGTTGGGTTTCTTTTCTTAGCCTAACTCTTTATACAGATAACATCACAGCCATTAGAAGACAAGGAAGTTCCAGAAGTTTGGGACAAAGATTAAAGGATCTGCAGAGGATATAACTGATGGATGCAACTTACGTAATGACAACAGGCGCCACCTTATTAGTAATGATAGACTTGGCTTTGTTATTGTGGAGGCCAATGGTCTGGAAGGAGTGGATACTGAGGGAATGGTGATCCTCCATGGTTCCGCTGCCGTGAATATTCTCAAATGTTGCTGTTGCTACTGTCTGCTGAGCTGTGCTGGCAGTTGTACCCATAATCCACAGGCAACTGTATCAATAAAAATAATCAGAAGATGGAATAAGAAGGGGAAGGTTAAGACTTCAGTATTCTGCAAAAAGAGAGAGGGAAGAAAGAAAGAAAGAAAGAAAGAAAGAAAGAAAGAAAGAAAGAAAGAAAGAAAGAAAGAAAGAAAGAAAAAAGGAGAGAAAGAAAGAACACAAAAAAGAAATATATTTAGGAAAAAGCAATCAGAATTTATTTGCATGTATTTATTATTAGATGGCTGAAGTCCCATCTGATGGCAACATTTAAGGGATGAGAGTATACCCACCCTATCTAACCTAGTAGGACAGGCAGATACCTTCAGCGAGAGGTGCTCCCACAAGTAATCTGACCCTCTGCCACGTAGGTCTTTAAAGGTGATAACCAACACCTTGAATTGGACCCAGAAAGCAACTGGAAGCCAGTACAGTTCAGGTAGCAGTGGTCTTACTATTTGACATTGTTATCTTCCTTATTTCAGAACTGGACCTTTCAGACTGTGTTCAAGAAAAACCTGACGATTCCTTGGACATTCTTCACAAAACTATGAATGAAAGGCATAGCTGATGTTGCATAGGAATAAGGAGCCTACACAATCTTTTAGGCATCATTTAGACATGATAGCAGTATCTGAGGGGCTACCAGAAGGCAGAGGGGGTCAGGTTGTTCACCGAAGGACAAAAAACAATGATTGGAAGCTGATCAAAGAGAGAAGCAACCTGGAATTAAGGAGAAACTTCCTGGCAGTGAGGACAATCAACGGGTTTAACAGCTTACCCCCAGAAATCGTGGGCACTCCATCACCGGAGATTTTTAAGAAAAGACTAGACAATCGCCTGTCCGAGATGGTGTAGGTTCTCCTGCTTGAGCAGGGGGCTGGACTAGATGACCTCCAGGGTCCCTTCCAGCTCTATTCTATTCTAGGATATAAAGTCTTGGTATTCTGTGGCAGATGATGGAGTTCTTGGCAAATGAATCAATGCTGAAAGCATTGTCCAAAACTGGAAAAATCACAAACCAGAGATCTATTGCTGTACCCACAGTCCGTCCATTCTGGCAACTCTTATGACTTCTAAAATAGTCTTTTGCTTAATAAAACAAGGTAAACACTGGTAAATAATCTGTAAAGAGAGTATGTAGAACCATCCATAATCCAGTGTTGACCTGCAATGTGATTAGAGTTTCATCTAAGTCCTATTAAAGAAGTATAGTTAAACCAGGAGCACACCAAACAGTGGATTGGGCCATAACTTTATTTGAAGAAGTTGAGTCAGCATGTTTTTTTTATAGGTAGTGACTGCTAGGCCAAAATATTAAAAAAACATGGTTGAAATGTTTGCAAGATAGCCAAGTATTTTAAGATTTTAACTATACACTCATTTTGTTATAAACATCTGCAGTATCCACATGAACTGTCAGCCATCTCCAGATCTTATCAACCATCCAAAGAACAAAACATTAGGTAGTATAGTAAGCGTATTTTTTTTTCATCCTATTCCATGATTTTTTTTCTCAGATAGAATTACTGCTTTCATATCTTATAATATGCATGCAACTTTGACCAAAAAGCTCTGCAGAAGGCCAAAGGCTTTTCACCCAAGTAGACCCTCTTCTACTATTGTTTCTGCAACTTGGCAGAATGCCATCATCTATAAATCCAAGTAGTATATATCTTCAGTGTGTCATAAATGCAACATTGTAAGCCATCAATAACTGTGATAAGCAGCGTGAAAGAAAATTGAACCAAAGTACTCAAAAATGACTTGCTATATTGTCACAGACACAACAAACTGGAACTGTGCTTTATAGAAAAATCTGAACTCAAAGGATCTTATGAAGTGAACCACTGTCTGTAAAACACTATCCGTGGTTATGAATTTTTAAAATACCATAAGCATGTGATTCTAAAAATTCATTTAATAACCATGCCTGTATGCATGCGAAACAAATAAAAAAATCTTCTTTGTAAAATTTATCACCATGAAAATTCTGCCCATCCATAAAATAGGAAAGACCGCTATTGGAATTAGCAACCAGAATTCCAGGAACAATTTCATGAAAAGATAAAAACACCCAATCAAAACATCTTGTCTCACGTTGACACAGATGTGATATACCATGGCATAGATTCTTTCAAAGAAGGTTACCCAACCAATCAGTTTTCAGTTGCTTGTATTTAAATTTAGTCACTTATTTGATCATTTATGTCTTTGCTTTTTTTAAAAAAAAAAATGGGTGGCTTTCTGCAGATACAATAAGTGCAGAGAAACAGTAATGTTTTGCTGTCCTTATCATGATGAGGTAGGCCTTCATAGTGATTGTAGCCCTTGTTCCATCATGTTTGCTCCTTGTCCTCTACCAGTGCTGTTCTAGGTATCTCTTCTACTGCTTCACCTCCTTTAGATCCTCAGTAAGCCATGTGCGAGTAGGCGTCAATATAAATTTTCTAAATATATAAAAATAAATAAACCAGAGGGAGTTCCAGGGCCCCGGGGCAGGAGAAGTTGCTCAGATGCAATTTCTTTCTAAGCCCCAGCCACCCTCATTCCAGATAGCCACAAGGACTTTGATTAGACCCGTGGTGGTGAATCTATGGCTCACGTGCCACAGGCGGCACGCAGAGCCCTCTCTGTGGGCACGTGCACTGTCGCCCCAGTCCTAGACCTTCAGCTGGGTTTTATAAAACCTTTTCGCTTTAGGCCTCCGCCGCTGTTTGCAAAAAAAAAAAAGGTTCAACCAATCAGTCAATTTCAACTTTTCGCGGGAAAAAAAAGATCTCGCAAAGTTGGAATTAATTGATTGAACTTTTTTAGTCCCACCCAGTCTGCCGTTACCACCGAAGCCATGCCCACCCAAAGGGCCACGCCCACCCAAAGGGCCACACCCACCCAGCACCCAACGATACGTAAGTGGGTTTTGGGTTGCAGTTTGGGCACTCGGTCTCTAAAAGGTTCGCCATCACTGGATTGACCATGCAGCAGACCCTCCAGAACAATCCCAATTAGTCCATTAGTTTCCTGGGCTGTAGTGATTTAATAGCTCCACCCTCTCTGTAAGAAGAGGCTTTCTGTGTGGCCCTCACCCTTGGGAACATCATCCCTCCAGAGATCAGGCTGACTCCAACCCTGATGGCTTTTCATAAGATCTTAAAAGACCAAATGTTATGCTAGAGCCTGGGGCACCAGAGGTGTGAAGGAACCCATATTCTAGTTCAGGGGTAGGCAACCTCGGCTCTTTTATGACTCATGGACTTCAACTCCCAGAATTCCCGAGTCAGCTATGCTGACTCGGGAATTCTGGGAGTTGAAGTCCATGAGTCATAAAAGAGCTGAGGTTGCCTACCCCTGTATCTAGTTATATTAATGGATGTTTGTGATTTTTCTCAGTTACTATCTTCTAATTTTTGTATATGTGTTTGGTTTTATTCACTTTTAAGATTGTTAGCTGCCCAAGGACATTTGTTTGAGATTGGCAGGCCAAATAAATTGATTAAATAATTTTTTTTCCTTCTAGTTTACTCTCAATTTCCCAGAACAAGAAGTTTACAAGACAGGTTCCAGCTGTTCAGAACAGCTGGCTCCCTTCTAACGATAAGACAGAGAGAACTGCTGTTGCAAATCTTGAAACACAGCTACATAGAACTGCTGAGAGCAGGACATCTTCCTTTCCTCGTTGTTCTTGCTGTTCTCACCCTTGTGACTCACCTGGAAAAATCCATTAACCGCCCGTAGTCTAAGCGCAAATTACTCTGAGTTTAAGGGAATGGTACATAGTCTTTGTACAAAATACAGGTTGCATCTCGGTTTCCCACGCTAGAAAACAGACCCCCAAATGAATGAAAGCTTGCCCTTCTTTTGTGATTTCCCTGTACCTCAACCCACTTAGAAAACAGAACATAGAATCCTAGGGCTGGAAAGGACCTTGTAATACATGTAGTCCTCTACTTAACAACAGTTCATTTAGTGAAGGTTCAAAGTTACAACGGCGTTGAAAAAGTGACTTAGGGCCATTTTTTACACTTACAGCTGCTGCAGCATCCCCACAGTCACGTGATCAAAATTCAGGCACTTGGCAACTGACTCATATTTATGACGGTTGCAGTATCCCGGGATCATGTGATCCCCTTTTGCGACCTTTTGACAAGCAAAACCAATAGGGAAGCCTGATTCACTTAACAACCGTGTTAGTAACTTAACAACTGCAGTGATTCACTTAAGAACTGTGGGAAGAAAGGTTGTAAAATGGGACAACATTCATTTAACAAATATTTCACTTAGCAACAGAAGTTTTGGGCTCAATTGTGGTCAAAAGTCGAGGACTACCTGTATTATATATTATCACCAGCTTGGATTTGTTTTTTTCCATTTGGGGAGGCAATTTCAGAATGAAAATTTGAAATTCAATATTTAGACAGCCAAAATAGGAAAACAACATCCTAGACAGAATTGAACTAATTTTATATTTTCTTAAAATGCTGTCATTTCTGGTTAAGGGTCTAGGACAGGGGTTTGCAACCTTGACAACTTTAAGACTTGTGGACTTCAGCTCCCAGAATTCCTCAGCCAGTCTTAAAGTTGTCAAGGTTGCAGACTCCTGGTCTAGGACCTTCAGGCACGGACCCTTGGCCATGCCTCTTTCTCCTCCCACGTCCCCACAACACTAGAATCCATGTTTAGAATAGAATAGAATAGAGCTGGAAGGGACCATGGAGGTCTTCTATTCCAGCCCCCTGCTCAAGCAGGAGAACCTATACCATCTCAGACAGGTGAATGTCTAGCCCAGGGGTAGGCTGGCTCAGGAATTCTGGAAATCCATGAGTCATAAAAGAGCCAGGGTTGCCTACCCCGGTCTAGTCTCTTCTTAAAAATCTCCAGCGATGGAGCGCCCATGATTTCTGGGGGTAAGCTGTTCCACTGGTTGTTGTCCTCACTGTCAGGAAGTTTCTCCTTAATTCCAGGTTGCTTCTCTCTTTGATCAGTTTCCAACCATTGTTACTCATCC